TGTAAGCCCCACCCAGTTCCCAGAAAAGAAACCAGGAAACTTTTGAGGGCCCCAAATCCTTGAATACCTACCGGCTATTAATGATTTCCGTGCTTCCGCAGTTCGCCTTTTATAGGGTTCCGCGGCTTGCGTAGGGCCTGCAAGAGAGTCCCTGGATGCAAGAAGTAAGAACAAGTATATTCCATGAGTTAGCCCATCAAGCCTAGCTAGAACTTGAGCGCGCGCGAAGCGCGCGCGATGGTTCTAGTACATATATATATATGTATATATATACCCACGCATGCATAACTATAGACACAGGCGTGCGCATGTGTAGTCGAGGCTACATACACCTTCAATATGAGTATGCAGCCAAAGAGGCGGGTACGACGAAGTCATCGGTGAATGGAAACGATGGCGTAGATCGATGTCTGGTGACGGACTGCAGTGACGGCAGGACGCTTGCGATTCAGCTAGTTGCTTCTAACCGTAAGAAGGCAGTGAGAGTTGATTGCGACTTCCATGTAGGCGATCATTCCCTGGTCGTGGAGGGGTCTGACTCGATTCCTATTTATATATTTTTTATCAGGCCGGGGAGCCCGCACCCCAGCGCCCCCCCCCCCAAACGAATTTCGCCTCCTCGGGCCTGTCTTGCGCCTTGCTGTGGCCATCCTGGGGTCGTCTTGACGCCCCTCGAGTCAAGCGATAGTGTACAAGCGCGAAGGCCCAAAACATTGTTTTTACTGCGTTTTGTTCTGCTTTTCCCACTCTCCGGGCCCTGTTGCGCCAGCCTTGGGCCTCTTTGGGGCTCGTTTGGGGCCTCATCTGGAGCCGTCTTGGAGGCATCTGGACGCTTCAAGAGCCAATCGGAAGCGACAGGGCGAGAAGACCGAAAAATTTGCTTTTCCCATGATTTTCCTATATTTGTTCATCTCTGGGCCCCCCTCTCCTGGCCCTATAGGGCCAGGGAGCGCCCCCCCCCCCCCCCCCCCACGCCCTCCCCAAAAGACTTTCGAATCCTCGGGCCTGTCTTGCGCCTCCCCGTGGCCGTCCTGGGGTCGTCTGGACGCCCCCCGAGTCAACCGGAAGTGAAAAAGCGAGAAGGCCGAAAACATTGCTTTTCTACTGCGTTTTCTCTGCTTTTCCCACTCTCTGGGCCCTGTTGCGTCAGCCTTGGACCTCTTGGGGGCTCGTCAGGGGACTCAGTTGGAGACATCGTGAAGTTGTCTCGACGCCTCAAGAAGTACAGGAAAATATAAAGGAGAGGGGAAGGAAGCGGAATAAGGAAAATGAGGGAAGAGCAGAAAGATGATGAAGATGAAGAGAAGAAAGAGGGGGGAGGAAAATGCGGAGGAAGAGCAAGAGGAGGAGGATGCCCTGCTTCATACTACCCCAACCAGTCGCCTGAGACTTACTCGCGCCTCTGGGTACAGAAACGCCCTGAGCTGGCCAGAGCTGGCGTTGTCAAGTCGCTCCCGCTTAGGAGATCCTGACCCACTCCGACTTGGCGGTGCCCAGCCCCGCGTCCACGCGCGCGCACGCCGCCTGCATTCGAGCCCACCAGGAACAAGGTGCATGGCGCGAAGCGCCAATGCAGTCTTGTGTATATATATATATATATACACATACACATGTGTGTATGTATATATATATATATACACACACACAGTTATATATTTTTACAGGGCTGGGGACGCCGGAAAAAGCCTACAACAACCCCCCTAACGAATTTGGCCCTCCCTGGGCCTCCGGGCAACCCTTCAGACGACCAGGGAGAACCTCGCGAGAGCCCGAAGACTTCCCCAGACGGGTTCCAGGATTTCCGGCGCGCTCGCGAAACGACCCCAGATAACCCCAATACGGTCCACGACGACCCCCAAGAAGCCGTCATACCCCCAAGAGGCTTCCAAAAGCACTCCCACGAAGGCCCCAAGATGGAAAAATCATTGATTTTCCATTGGCTTTTGGTGAATTTCGGGGTTCTCCTCTTTTCGGCTTCCCGGCGCTCCAAGGCGGCGGTCTTCTGGGCGTCCGAAGCCGCCCGGGAGGCTCCAAAATCGTCCCACCACCATCAGAGACGACTTCCAGGCAGTCCAAGATAGCACCAAAACGGCACAACAGGGTTCCAAGATGGCCCTAAGAGAGCCCCATGGCGCCTCAAGATGGCCCCAAGACACCCTCCGAAGCATTCCAAATCGTGACCCGGTCGTTCAGGGAGACCGCGCTTGGAGGCAGGGTGACCCGAGGAAGCCCCCAAAGGCCCCAGAACACGCCCAGGAGGCATCCTGAAGGCCTTAAGGAAGCTTGAAAATTCGTGTGACGCCCCTATAGAGAGGCTCTCCAAGGAGGAGCCTCCGCAACAAAAAAAGCTGAGGAGGATGGGGGGAATGCGCAGGGTATGGCGAGAATGAGGAAAAAGAAGCCTGGAGGGAGGATAACGAATGGCATTATGATAACGGCGATGCCGGAAAAGGCAACAAGGAGTCATCGCGAAATTATCGGCTTGACCTTCCTGCCATTCCGCCTACATACCAAATTTCAAGTTAGCGATAATTCCTTACCGCCTTTTCCATCCTTTCCAGCATCGTCGTTATAAAAATGTTATCCGTGATTCTTCCTCAGTGTGTATATTTCCGCATTCGCCTACCCTGCGACTTTTTCCCCATCCTCCTCAATTTTTTCGGAGGCCTGTTATGCCGTTTTGGGGCTCTATTGGACTGCCTGGAAGCCCTTTCGTATGGTTTGGGGGCGATTTTCGGGCAGCGGTCTCGGACGCCCAGAAGACCGAAGAACAGGGCATTCTCAAAATCATGCAAACATTCCCCAAATCATGCAACAACCGTGGAAAATCAGTGTTTTTTTCCTGCGTTTTGAAAGTTTCTTAGGCGGTCTTTTTGTTGGGTCGTTTTCGGTCGTCTGGTGGGTGTCTGGGGCTTCTTGGGGCCCTCGGGGGGGCATTCGGTCGCCCTCCTGACCGATTTGGGCCCGTTGCCTAGGCCCAGCAAGGGCTTCCGGGAGCTTTGAAAAGCTTGGGTGGCCTTCAGCAGGGGCGTCCAGGGGGCCCCTGGGGCCACGGATCTTGGGGGTCCCGTTTCGAGGGGGGGGGGGCGGTTTTCCCATCCCTCCGGATGATAAGATATATGTAATTGGGAATCTGTTCCAATTTTGAAAGTCACTGACTCGGAGAAGCCGTACCACGATAGGAATATCTCGCGCAAAACGGCCGCTTGGTTCTTGCCCAAGCATGCAAGCTATGAAGTCTCGCTACGCGACCAGGAGAAGAATTGAGTTCGGAAGAGGGAGCAGAAAATTCGTTATACCATCTGCGCCCAGAGAGCTGGTGGGATATTCTTGGCCTGTCTGCACTCTTGCGCCGTAGGGTGAGCGCCATAATTCCGCCAGGTCCTCTGTGGACGATTTACGCAGGACGAGAGAGTTTCCTCTTGAGGCGCCAGCGGCGATAAGCGGTTGGCAAGAAAGCGTCGGCGCCGCCGAACGCACGGCGTTTGGACAAGTTGCTTGCAGCACCTGGGGGGCAAGGAGAGATGTATTCATGTTGGGTGCGACCCCTGTGCGGTGAGAAGTGATGAGGCCCGTGAGACAACGCGCGACTAACAGCGGTGGGCCCGGGTGCAGCGGATCTGGTGTCTCTCAGCTCCACGGATATATTTGATAGTGTACATTGTCAACAGCGCGTAAATCGGATCCGCGTGACAAAAACAAGACGGGCATCATATCCACAGCATTTGCAATCGGAACCGCGCGGACGGAAACCGGATCCACCGCAACATGCACCCAAGCCAATGTGTATTTCGCATTGCTTTCATTGGATCCGCCAAGGTTTCTGTCATGCCCGCCAGCGCAAGCAAGAGTTGCAACCACCATCTCCGGTCCCAGGAGGAAAACCACATTGTCTTGGGGATGTACCAAATCGCGACTTCCCTTGTCTGTCTGCACCCCGTCGGATGCGCCACAGGTTGCGCCAGACTAGCTAATCGTGGCATCGTTGGTTTATCCATTTTCCACCAGTCGCGGCATAGGTTGCGCGCCACACGCTGCGCCACGCATCCCGCAATCCACCAAATCGCGACCTTCCCGTTTTGACTTCAGCCCGTGCAAATAGGGTGCGCTATAGGCTGCGACAGGCCCTTTAGCGAGCCACCAAATTGGGATGTCCATGGCCTGACTGCATCCCAGAGGTTGTGCTACGGGTTGCGCCAGACACCCCGCTGTCTACCACCTTGCGATTTCCCCCCGGGCTGACAGGACGTGCCGTGGGCTTCAGCAGAGGTTGAGCGCCAAGAGTTGCGCCAGACACCCCACGGGCTACCCAATCGCGATTTCCATGATCGCCTACGTTCGGGAGATTGCGCCATGGAGAATGCGCCAACCCCCCTGCGAGCTACCAAATCGTGATGTCTCCAGCCTGTCTGCATTCCAGAAGTTGCGCCGCAGGTTGCGCGCCACAGGTTGCGGCAGACCCCCCGCGGGCTACCGAATAGCGATTTTGCTGGTCTGTCTGCGTTCCATCGTTTTCGCCATTGGTTTTGTCACAGGTTGCGCCAGACCCCCCGCCGGCGACCAAATCGCGATATCCCCAGCCTGTCTGTACACTTCGTAGTTTGCGCTGCAGGTTTCGCGCCTCATGGGCTGCCACACATCCCGCGGACTACCAAGCTGCGACTTTCATCGTATGTCTGCACTCCATAGGTCATGCCACAGGTTCCGCCAATCACCGCACGGATTATCACATCGACCAATGCCTTATTCTGAATATTTTGTCAAGTTCATGAAGAGTCTTGGCCACACTCACTGTTTAGGGAGTAGCTTGTCCGCCCCTCCAAATAGCTGCACATCCGTTGTCCGCTGGTTACACACTCCAGTTGTCAGAACAGTGCCCACTATTTGCCCTCTCCTTCTCATCCTACTCCCTTTCCCCCGTCTTTCCCCCCGCCATTCCTCCGTTTCCTCTGATTGTTATTATCATCCCTCTCTCTGGACCCTTGACATCGCCGAAGGGGATGCAGCGCTGGCCTGACCTTGCAGATTCTGTAAGCAACTCAATCGGCTTCCACAGCAGGACCGAGGAGGCTGGCCAGCAGTTTCGGGGAGGTATGGGGGGAGCTGATGGATCTATCAGGACTTGGAAGGGCAGGTGAGGAAGGAGGTGGAACGTAGGAGGGAGAAATAGAAGGAGGAGAAAATAGGAAGAAGGCGGAAAAGGATGACCGACGCAATTCCGGCCCGCATCATTGATGTCGCAGTGCACCCTCCCGTGCAATTCTTCTCCTCACAAGTATGTGCAGGGCTTCATCTCGTTGCTGCGAGCGCACGCTGAAGTGGCGAGGGTCGCGTGGGTCTAACTCAGGTTCAGACTGTGGGATGGGTTGGACGGCGATGAACAATCCTGGCCCGGCCACGAATTCGGGACCTGGGAAGGTTGGTAGGACCATAGCCCGATGGCCAAGCCGCAGGAAGTGGCCCTGGGAACACTGGAGTGGTGGGAAGTTTGCAGCCTCTCCCATGTAAACACTGGCTGCAGTCAGCCTCGACCGCGTAACTGGCACAAGCGCAGAGGAAGTATCATACGAGAACGCGATTATGAAAAGGATGCGTCCTCCACTTTGAGCGTCAGGGTCGCATGTTCTGGTTGCGAATTAGATGTTGATGCTTTTCTTTTGACCGTCAGGTTTGAGGATTTGTTTGGCGAAGCGCCTGGCCCGCCCTACTTACACGACTGGTGTTGCGACGGGGAGGCATCTGATTATTGAAAGATGGACTGAGGCGAAGAAATGAAGAGGGGGAGGAGGAGGAGGAGGAGGAGGAGGAGGAGGAGGAGGAGGAGGAGGAGGAGGAGGAGGAGGAGGAGGAGGAGGAGCAGCAGGAGCAGCAGGAGCAGCAGGAGCAGCAGGAGCAGCAGGAGCAGCAGGAGCAGCAGGAGCAGCAGGAGCAGCAGCAGCAGCAGCAGGAGGCGCAGGAGGAGGAGGAGGAGGAGGACAAAGGAGGAAGACATGAGTTGGAGCATGCAGCATATCAGAGGGGGAGGAGAGGGGGGAGGGGAAGTGGAGGGAATCAATGCACCCGCTGCCCCGGGCACTGGCCCGTGCCCGTGCCCTCTGTCGAGATCGAGGCTGGTTCGTCCAGGATGCGGCGCGAAGTCTTGGCAGCAGTCCTCTCTTCCTCGCGCCTTCCACTGTCCCGGTTATCGCGCTCTTCCTGAAGCCTTCCACTCTCCAGTTCTCTCTGCTACGCGCCTTTCACTCTCTCACTCTTCTCGCGCCTTCCACTCTCCTCCTCGCGCCTTCCACTCTTCTAGTCTTCCTCATGTTTCCGACTGCACGCAGTGTCCTGGCGATTGTCCCCGCCGCCCCTTGCCGGGACGCATCTGCCCTCGGGCAGACAATTTTGTGCACATGCCGACCGCTGTCATGGCCAGAGACCTTCGACACTTGGACATCAGCGTAACCCTTAGGCCTCAGATGTCCACACTGCACTCTTGTGCGTTGGACTGTTTGAGCCTGGTCATATCCACACATGGGCTCATTTGAGGCAGGCATCATGAACGGTTCCCCGATGGTTTGTTTCTTGGTGAGCCGAAGGTAGCGGCTGCAGTTTTGTAAAAGAGGCGCTTCGTGTTCCCCCAGGGGCGGTAATCGGCCGAATGGGGCAGCAGCAGTGAGTTCACGATCGAACGCGCATCTCCCACCCGTTTTCCAACCTGCGCGAGAAATTTGAAGAAGCATATTGCAAGCGGCCTGGTGCACAACAAGAATTCGCACATTAGCTATCCCAGGACTGCTGGTATTCAGAATCTCCTTTCGCAGAATCGGTGCGGGCTCGGCGATATTCGACTCCCTCAGTTGCGATCTACAGGAATGCGATTACCTACTCTGGGTTTCTTTATAAGCGTGAGGGGGTACCCCCCCGACGGGGGTCAACGTCGCCTCGTCGTCGCGCTGCGACGGGGGTGTGAGCGCTTTCGGTGCGCGGTGGCTGCCCGCGACGGGGGTCGATGTGTGGCTGTCGACGGGGGTGACACCCCCCCGACGCTTATTAAAAAACTCGGAGTAGGTCTGTGGCGGACTGATCACGCATGAGCATTTTGTACAATGGGTGCGGACTGGCACTGGCGCCGCACAAGACGGTTTCAGCACGTTTTCTGGACGGGCCTGCAATTCGCGACGCAAATCTTGAACAAGGTCGTTTTTTTCTCCAGGTCAGTGATGTTCGCTGTGATGCGACGCGCCTACATGCATTTGTTGCAGGAAAGAAGAGAAGCGAGAAGTGCACTTGCTGGAAGCCGGCCCACATTGATTGGGCCACATGTTTCACACAGTCTCGCAGTTAGCGGAATCAGAATTCCAGTTTTCCGAGCTCTCAACAAGGTCAACCAACACACCCGTACAATGTATGCAGAACAAGAATATGTGGGATAGCGTCGGTACAGCGACTCGTTTGTCTCGATTTCAATCTGAACGCGTTCATTGTGCCCTGCCGTCCCACTCGGCAATGGTCCTTTCATATTCGTTATGGGTTGCTGCTTTCATTGTGCCCTTCAAGATCATCCTTTGCGCGTTCGTCAAGCTTTGGTGCAGCTCCTCATCACCACGGTTTCTTCGGTGCTCACTGCAGTACTGACTGGGGTGCGCCCCCCCCTCGCCGCCGCCCTTTTGAACTGATTTTGGCCGGCGAGCCCGCCGCCATTTTGTTGTTGCCTAGTTGCGATTACGATTGCGCCCGCGGGCGGGTTGAAATGTTTCGTCTGGTTGGGAATTGAAAAACATCGCACTTCCGCGTCACGCGGCGCGCCTTTTTAATAGAATTGCAAATATGTCTCGGGAGAGTCTCACGCCCGCCTCAGATATTATGTGTTGTTCTGTTCGTTGTAGTTTTTTTCAACGGATTGCAAAATGCAGCCCGCCTGAATAATTCCGCACTGGTCACAAGACGATTCGCCGCCAAATTTTTACGGGGAGTTCCAACTGATTTGAATTCGTTGGTTCGCCTCTCCGCCGTTTCTTTCGATACGTCAGTTACTGTTTCAGTTTTTTTTCTCCGCCGCCCGCCTTTTTTTCGGAAATGGAGTATATTGCATTGCTTCCAGTGTGGTAGCTTCTCCACTCACCCCCACCAGATCTGCCCATCCAATCAGTATCCGATGACCCACTTCAGTCGCACAGGGGAAATCGGATGTCAGTTCACGCCCCATGTAGTTGACACTGCCAGTGGAAGAATGATATTCTATCTGCTCCGTGTTGAAATCCAGCCACACCCCTTTTTGATGAGGTGCCCCTCGCACGTCTAGCCCCCAGCCCCCACCTGGAGAATCGAAAATCCTTGTGAACCTCGCCATGAGTTGATCGCGCCCACCTGCCCTCGCGCTCGCGCACTCCCCCCAAGGAATGGTTTAGCGTTCCGCTTGCGCACGACAGCATCTCCCCCGAGCAGCAAGACACCGCGGAATATGGCGGAGTACGGCTGCCAGAGGTGCCTCAGGAATTTACGATCATATGTTTTCAGTATTGTGCACCCACCGTGCCGCGAAATGGCGCGCGCGTCGGGGAAATGCCCGGCGACGCCACCCACCTAGTTAGTGCGGGCACCCAGCGTACCGCGAACCAGAGAGCGTTTCGCGAACCAGTGACCGCGTTCATTAGCCGAGGTGGGCAAGTGCTTCAGGCAATACTGCGTTCCCAAAATTCAATAGGAAGCATTGAGAAGCAATGTATCTGCCACCGTGTCTCATCATGCTGTCGCTTCTCCTTCACAGTGTTGTGTCAGTCCTATTCATCATCCCTGTCAGTTTTGCTGCGCCTTCTTCTTGGGCGCAAGGTTGCCCCGCTGCGCAAATACCAGCCTGGGCAAGCCATGCAGGGGCACGTGACGCAGGATCCGCGGCTTTGCCCGCTGGAGCGGCCGCTCCCTGCGCCTTATCACTTATCCCTGCTTGCTCACGCTGGCACGCCGCTGCCCTCCTGTCGACATGAAGGGCTGCAGTGTGATAGCCCTTGTTCGGGCATCCTCGCCAGGAAATCGAGCACAGAGCTTCGACCTCGTACCGTGCGCGGCGTGTCACGTGCGCGAAGTTGTGCGCGAGCTGCCAGGGTGTCAGCGCTCGCGGCGCAGATGTGCGCTGTTTTCCTTATAGTATGACGGCCAGTGGCGCGGTGATCTTCTGGGATGTCGCCGTGCGGAATCGTGAGTTTCAGTGAAAGCTCCAGCTACACATACATAATGCAAGAGTTATCGAAGGCGCCCCCGTTGAACCACCGCCGCCCCCTGCCTTTCGGAACCGCTTATCCGACCAAACGTTGGGCTTGGCCAGCGTCTGGCGAAGCTGTTGACTCTGTGTTCCCCCAGCCGTTGTGCAAACGCTTGGAGGAGCAGCTGAGGGAGATAAAGAGAGAAAGAGAGTGAGAGAGAGAGAATGAGAGAGAGAGAGAGCAACAAACAAACACACAAACAAAAAAAGAGCGAGACAGAGAGAGAGAGAAAGGGGAGAGAGGATGAGGAGGAGGAGGAGGAAGGCCTCTTTGGGCCCTCTTGGGGCCTGCTTGGGGCCTCTCGGGAGCTTCTCGGGAGCCCTTGAGAGACCTCTCCGGGGCCTTCCGGGGCCTCTTGAAATTCTCTTGGTGGCATTTTGGGGCTTCTTGGAGGCCTCTTGAAGATCTCTCGGGGGCCTCTGGGGGGCTTCTTGGGCCTCTGGGGGCCGCCTGGCGGCCGAGCTGTCTTGAGAGTGTATCTCGGGCCGTCTTGGGGGCATCTTGGGGCCGTCTTGGAAGCTTCTTGGGCCGTCTCTTGAGCTATGCTGGAGGCCTCGTGGGTCGTCGCGGGCTGTCAGAAGGCGGAGAAGGCGAGACGCAACGCTGTGTCAGAAGCCTTGCGGTAATGATTTTGGCTTCATGTGGGGTTTCTTGCCTCTTGGAGCTCTTTTTGAGCCGTTTTGAGGCCATCGTGGGCTGTCTTCCTGCCAGCTCGGCCGACCTGGAGGCATCTTGGGCCCTTTTGGGGCCATCGTGCCTGTCTCGGAGCCGTCGTGGGACAGTCGTGGAGGCCATCTGGGACATTCTGGGGTTGTCGTGGCATTCGTGGAGGCCCTCTTGGAGCCGTCTTGGACGGAGAAGCCTGCGGGGTCCACCTTGTCCGCGGGGCCAGCGGTTGGGGCCAAATCTCGGAAAGCGCGCCACTGCATCACCCTGTCATTGAAAAGGGGGGGGTGCTCGCAGAACCCCCCCCCTCCCCCCTTTAAAGGGGGGGTGAGATTTTCGACCCCCCCCCATTTTCGACCCCCCCACCCCCTTGAAGGGGTGTGGGGGTCCAGAACCCCTCCCCCCCTTGGCGCTGGAAGGGGGGAGGGGGTTCGAACCCCCCTCCCCTCCCCCCCTTTGCGCCGAACAGGTGGCCTGGGAGGGGGGAGGGGCTTCTCTCGCTTTTCCTTTCTGCGCTGGAGAAGTAGGGAGTACGGAGTAGGGGGTAGTGTGTAGTAAGCAGTGAGTAGTGCGAAGTGAATAGTGAGTAGTGAGTGGTGAGTAGTGAGTAGTGAGTAGTGAGTAGCGAGTTGGGCATCGGGAGTAGGGAGTGGGGACTCGTGGGTCGTGAGTAGTGAGTGCTGAGTATTGGATTGCATAGTAGTGAACAGTGAGTGGTGAGTACTGGTTAGTGAGTAGTGAGTTGCGAGTAGTGAGTAGAGTAGTGCGTAATCACTAGTGAGTACTGAGTAGGGAGTAGGGAGTAGGGAGTAGAGGATAGTGAGTAGTGCGTAGTGAGTAGTGGGTAGTGCATAGTGAGTAGTGAGTATTGAGTAGTGAGTCGTGATTTAGTGAGTAGTGCGTAGTGACCAGAGACTTAGGGAGTAGGTAGTAGTGAGTAGTGAGTAGTGTTAGTGAGTAGTGAGTATGGAATACTGAGTAGTGAGTAGTGCGTAGTGAGTAATGGGTTGTGAATAGTGAGTAGTGGGTAGTGGGTTGTGAATAGTGAGTAGCGAGTAGTGAGTAGCGAGTAGTGCGTAGCGAGTAGCGAATAGAGCGTTGTGAGTAGTGGGTAGTGAGGAGGGAGCAGCCAGTTGTGAGTAGCGCGTAGGGAGTAGTGAGTAGCGAGCAGGGAGTAGCGAGTAGTGAGTATTGAGTATTGAGTAGTGAGTAGTGAGTATTGAGTAGGGAGTAGTGAGAAGGGCGGAGTGGGTAGCTAGTAGTAGGTAGTGAGTAATCAGTAACGAATAAAAGTAATGAGTAGTGAGTGGTGTGTCGTGAGTAGTGAGTAGTGAGTAGAGAGTAGTGAGTAGCGACTAGTGACTAGTGACTAGCGAGTAGGGAGTAGTGAGTAGTGAGTAGTGCGTAGTGAGTAGTGGGTAGTGAATAATGCGTATTGGGTAGCGAGTAGGGTGTAGGGAGTAGCGAGTAGTGAGTAGTGAGTAGTGAGTAGCAAGTACGGTGTAGGGAGTAGGGATTAGCGAGTAGCAAGTAATGGATAGTGAGTAGTGAGTTGTGGGCAGTGAGTAGTGAGTAGTGAAGTGTGAGTAGTGAGTAGTGGATAGTGGTTAGTGGGTATTGAGTAGGGGGTAGTGAGTAGTGAGTAGTGGGTAGTGAGTTGTGTTTACTGAACAGTGATTATTGAGTAGTGGATAGTGGGTAGTGAGAAGGTGGTGTGAGTAGTGAGTAGGGAGTAGGGAGTAGGTAGTAGTTCGTAGTGGGTAGTGAGTAGTGAGTAGCGAGTAGTGGGTAGAGGGTAGTGAGTAGTGCGTAATCAGTAGTGAATACTGTTTGGGGCTAGGGTTTGGGGTTAGGGTTAGGGGTTAGGGTAAGGGTGAGGACAAGACTCCCTCCCCGCCCGCAGGCCGTCTCGCTCACTCCCACCCGCCCTCCCAACACATACGCAGCACCCGAGCCTGGCCCGAGCCGCAGCATATTCAGCAGTCGTCTGTGGATGGGCAGCTACTGGGGGCGAATCCGCCGCCGCCGCAGCCTCCGCCGCCGCCGCCGCCGCCGCCGCCCGCCGCCGCCGCCGCGCCGCCGCCGCCGCCGCCGCCGCTGTCCGCCGCCGCCGCCGCCACCGCGCCGCCCGCCGCCGCCGCCGCCGCCGCCCCCGCTGCCGAATCGCCGCCGCCGCAGCCGCTGCCTCCGCAGCCGCTGCCGCCACCGCTGCCGCCGCCGCCGTCACCGCCGCCGCCGCCGCCGTCGCCGCCGCCGTCGCCACCACCGCCGCAGCCGCCGCAGCCGCTGCCCCCGCCGCAACCGCCGCCGCCGCCAAGCGTATTCTGCATTGTTTTTTGACAGGGATGGTAGGGGGAGGCCGCATCGGGTTCGCTGCGCATGCTCCGAATTTGGAGGCAGAATGTGTTTTGCATGGTTTTTTACAAGGGATCGTGGGGGGGGCCCTCATTGGCTCGGGTTGGCTCCCAGTCGCCTGGGGGAGGGAGTTTATATTGATAGACAACAATGATTTAAAGTGTGGGGCGGGTTCCGGAGCCCGGGGGCGCCGTGACGAAACGGGGGGAGGGGGGGGGATTCGAATTTGGCGGCCACAGGGGGGAGGGGGGGGGGCGGTTCGGACCCCTTCCCTCCTCTTTTGAAACGGGGGGGAGGGGACCGGGAAAGGGGTGGACGGGGGGGGGGTCCCCGACGACGGATCGGGAAAGGGGGGGAGGGGGGGTCCCCGACGACGGATCGGGGAAGGGGGGGGGGGGGGGAGGGGTTCCCCCCTCCCCCCCTGGGGACACCCAGCGGCGCGCCCTCCAAATCTCGCCAGGAACATGTTGGGAAGGAGCAAGCGCAGCTATACAGTTTAGCACGCGCGGCCGTAGAGATGCACCAGCCAATTCCAAGACTTCATCACAATCGCCGCCGCATGGGTTTTGCAAACAATAATGCGTGTGCGAGGGTGGGATGATTGCGCGAGCAGTGAAGTGGACAAGTCACTGCGAGCAGGAATTCATTTTATTTTCTTAGAAGGCTAGAAGGATCTACACCCCAGGGGGTCAACGGTATGTCTTTTTTTCGTATTGGATGTTATATACGATTATACCTCATCGTCCATCCGAAGTATGACACCATCCCAGCCAGGCCGGAGTTCGCCCCCCCCCCCCCCCTCCCCCCCGGATTCGCATCTCTTGACGATGCGCGCACACTCGTTGATCAAAAGTCATCCGTTTTTAAGAGCCCTTTACAACATATGGGACGAAGATCACACGCGCGCCTCGTCGCGCGCATGCCGAAATCCTTCGTTTCGTAAGGATTTCAAGAACGAGGGTCCCGAAAGCATATCAAAACACATGGTATTGCAACATCATTGTCGAACATGATTTTGCAACACACACATGGTTTAGCAACACCTGCTCTAGAACAAGTCCAGCGTTCGCGGCTTTGCGGGTTTTTAAGAAAACAATCGGTTTTCCAACATGCTCATCACATTCTACCAAACGGGCCTCTCGAACCGTATGTCGAACTGATTCGAACGCCCTTGCGCGCGTGCTGGGGGGTGCACGAGCCGTGTCAAATTATACAACGCCTGCCACTCGCGCGCGTCGGCCGCGCGCGCATGCCGAACTTTTTCGAAGAGCCTCATCGCCGAAGCGAGGACATCGTCATCGTTATCGGCCGGCGTTTACATATGATTTTTGTCGCATCGTCCATCATAAATATGCACTCGCACCACCCCAGCCAGGTTGGAGTTCGCCCCGCCCCCCTTTCATCTTTGCAACCAATGCGATGCGCGCACATTCGTTTATCAAAAGCCATCAGTTCCCATTCATATGTTGCAATATATGGAACGAAGTGTACATTCGCGCTTCGTCGCGCGCGCATGCCGAAGTCTTTCAAGAACTTTAGGTTTCGTCAGGCGTTCAAAACCGAGAGCAGCGAAAACATATACAAGCACATGGTTTCGCAACGGGTTTCAAAAAAAAACCTGCACCCGTGCTTTTGCCAATTCTTAAAACAACCATCGGTGGTTCAAAATTTCACAGCATGCTACCAAATTGGCTTCTCGCGCGCGCATGTCAAAATCGTTCGAACGCCCTTGCGCGCGTTCTGTCGCAAGGAGTCCTTGCAAAAAATGGAACGAAGTACACGCGCGCGTCGTCGCGCGCGCATGCCGAAATCCTTCGAAATATTAGCTTCCGCAGGGATTTCAAAAACGGGCGTCCCGAACATATACCAACACATGGTTTTGCAACATCAGTTCTCGAACAAAATCCAGCGCTCGCGGCCTTGCGGATTCTTCAGAAACCAAAAACTCTCTTACAATTTCATTCGATTCTACCAAGCGGGCCTCTCGAGCCGCATGTCGAACTAATTCGAAAGCCCTTGCGCGCGTGTTGGGGGGGCACGATCCGTGTCAAATAACACCACGCGGGCCACTCGCGCGCGTCGGCCGCGGGCGCATGCCGAACCCTTTTCGCTGTCCTTCATCGCCGACGCGAGGACATCGTCATCGGTATCGGCGGGCGCGATAAACATCGGCGCCGTCATTGTCCTGGCCGTCGTCATCGCCACCATCGCCACCGTCATCGCAACTCTCATCATCGTGTCTACCGGTGTCGGATCACTACGGTTTCTTCGGTGCTCACTGCAGTACTGACTGGGGGGCGCCCCCCCCCCCGCCGCCGCCATTTTGAACTGATTTTGGCCGGCGAGCCCGCCGCCATTTTGTTGTTGCCTAGTTGAGATTACGGTTGCGCCCGCGGGCGGGTTGAAATGTTTCGTCTGGTTGGGAATTGAAAAATATCGCACTTCCGCGTCACGCGGTGGGGCTTTTTTAATAGAATTGCAAATATTTCTCGGGAGAGTCCCACGACCGCCTAAGATATTATGTGTTGTTATGTTCGTTGTAGTTTTTTCAACGGATTGCAAAATGCAGCCCGCCAGAATAATTCCGCACTGGTCACAAGACGATTCGCCGCCAAATTTTGTCGGGGAGTTCCAACTGATTTGAATTCGTTGGTTCGCCTTGCCGCCGTTTCTTTCGATACGTCAGTTACTGTTTCAAGTTTTTTTCGCCGCCGCCCGCTTTTTTCTGATATAGAGTATGTTGTATTGCTTCCAGTGTGATGGTGTCGGCTTCGCCATGACACCGCGCCCGCCCAAATCACCGACTCGCACTGAACTGCCCGGTGGGAGGTGCCCAGCGGTCAGCGCCACCGCGGCCGCGTCGGTCGCGCCAAACTAGCTGGCCGCTGTGCGCGCGAGCATGCGCGGGCTAGCGCGGCCGCAAGGATGCACCGACCAACGCCAAGCACTCATCGCAATCGCCGCCGCATGGGTTTTGCAAAACAAGTTGTGGGTGGGTGGGCAGGATTCTTGCAAGAGCATGGCACTGGTCAGCGCGCTTACCAATGTTGCACAACATTGATTGCACACCGTGGATTGTTAGGAACACATCATTTGGGGCCCACGTTGGCCAACATACGTTTACACCCCCATCGAAAAAATTGTGGGATTAGTTAGGGATGAGAGAAGACGAGGGCACGGTTTAAACGCGATGAGCGGCTCAGCCCCAGACCCCTGGCCCCCGCCTTTTTCCAAGATTGGCATGACTTTTGGGCTTGGCGGCCACCCCCGCCAACATTGGACGATATTGGACGGGGGGGCAGGGGGCTCACGTCGCTCTCAAGACGGCTTCGTGATTTCAAGATGATCCGGACATTGCGCCACGCCTTGATGATAGCCCCGTGTGCCCCCCAAGCTCCCACCATGGCTTCAATGCGATCCCAAGATGGCCCCAATGAGATCTCAGAACTCAGCAGGGCACGAATCCGACCCGATGGCCTTCATGCGACCTCGCGGCGACCCCGAGAACACCCCAAGTCCGCATGCCCACGTTCATCAAGTTTGCTTCCGGAGGGGTGATAGGAGTGCCTCTCTGGCCAAGCCGGGGGGGGAAGACACGCCGCTCTCGGGCCCAGGCTGGGCCTGGCAAGGGGCGGTGGGTATGTATAGATCCCGCCACCGAGCTGGAGGCGCGGGCCAAACAACACCTGTTGGCACTTTCCCCCTGTCCCCTCTTCGTACAATCCCGCTGCACGAACGAAACTTGTACGGAAAGAATGGGTACAGTACCCAACAGCAATTCTTGTTCGTTTTGAGCAGGGCTCGCTGTCCGCGCCGCCGGGGCCTGTGTCCATTTGAGACAGAAGGCCGCCTGCCCAACAGCGGCCGCTGTTGGTTTGGGACAACATTTGTTGTTGGGCATTGTACCCATTTCTTCCGTACCCATTTCGGGCGTCCGTGCGCAGTCTTCGGACGGGGCCTTGCCCTTGAGACCGACAACCTCACCATATTCGCGCAACACCATCCCAAAGCCGTAGATGGCGCCCTGTTTGCTATGCTCGCTGCCCTGCCCACCGAGCTGAATTATGAGCTGGTCCCTTCCCGAGACAGTGGCGGCATGCGTGACAGTGGAGCCGTGTCTGACCGCGATGCCTTTCGCATCACAGTGGCAAGACACACAAGGAACCCACACATACACACCAGAGCGCGCGCGCGCCAGGTGGGAGAGGAATGTCGAACACAAGGCCACAATTGCTACCGAGGAAGGAAAGAGCCGAGGGGGCAGACGACGAGGGGAGGAAAGAAGGGAAGCGAAGAGGCGAAGGGACGGGAGGGGAAGTGGGCGTAGTGGAGGAGCAGGAGGGGGGGAGGAAAGGGCGAGCAGAGGGGGGAATATCTGTGTATGAGGAGGGCCCCCTCGTCATCCTTGGTCGTCTTTTCTCTATCCTCCGCCGACACCTCTTGAAACTTGGGGCTGGATTGGCCACTTCGGGAGGGCCAGACCCGAGCTGCTTCGGAACTGGAAACCTTCCCCGCCCGAGGTGTCTGGAAGTCTGCCCTCAAGCCAGGTGTGCGTGCTGCTTCGACGGGTTGGTTGACCCTCTTGGGCATCTTCCCAGGATGCGTGCCAATGTCAGCGAATGGCACCAATCGGCCGGATTGCGCGCCTCCCAGGATCTGCAGGGGCGACTTCCCTTCTCCTTGGATGTGGGACGACTCGATCGGGTCGCTTACGAAAGCGGCTCGATCTGTGACTCGCGGCAGCTTTGGGACAGCCGTGTCGATGGACTGCTTCTCCTCTCGGCGTCGACGTTGTCGGCGCGCCCGCTCCGCGAGCAGTGCGCGCTGCCGTTGCGCCCCCGCTGCTGCCGCTGCGGTCCAGGAGCTGTTCGTCCGCTCCCTGCGGTCCAAGGCCCTCGACATGAAGACGCGCGCCCAGGGGGACCGGGCCGCTCGTGTGCGTCCACCGGCAGGGCCGTGCTGCGCGGCTCACTCGGGCGATCGCAAGCATGGATTAAGGGGGCGTAGATTAGCGACGGGTCCCGTTTCCATGGGAACTCGCGGACGTCCGCCGCACGAGGCGGCACCGGCCGCATTTTGGGGAGGGCACCTCCCCCGATCCATGTTTGCGCGCCGCCGACTCACGCGGAGTCGCGGGTGGGCGCGAGAGGGGTCCACCCCTCAAGGAAGGATGGTGGGGTCGCGCCTGCCAGAGATGGCCCTGCGGCCGTCGTCATGCCTGCGACTGTCTTGGACCACGTGTGAACCCCGATGCGGGGGCCACGAGGGTGTCTTTTGGTGCGTCTTGTCGCCGCTCCTGCCTTCTGTTCTCGCCTCTCGTCGGCCAGGGTCCGGGGCCAGGGCCTGAGTTTCGGCCACGTTCGCAGGGCACCACTTCTATTTGGTCGATCGTTCTCTGAGGCTAGCTCTGTGGTTTCATGTCTGCCTCGCTGCGATCGCCATCTGCAGGAGTCTGCTCCCCTCCTCTATCAAATGATACGGGAAAGTGCAAGAATTCAAACTTGTGCGGAATGATGGTCTTGGGAGGCTCGGTAACAACCACTGGGCATCGCCAACCGTCGCGGAGACGTTCAGCCCTAGAGGACTTGGGGGCGATGGGTGCATCAGGTGAGTGCTTCTTGACGGGCACGTATGCCGGAGCCTAAGCAGTGGAGATGCGAGCCCAGCAACATGCCATGTCGCGATGTTGGGGGAGTTTCGTATGGGTATGTAGAGAGGTAGAGATGAGCGCTTGCGCTTCTGCCGCTATTATACACTTGCAGAGTTGTCTTCTGGACGATGCGAACCCATCGATGCGCATGCATACATCTACACACCACACCACCACAAAGGCACTTGGGCAGCGCTGGCGCATTCTTTGAGAAGGCAGCACAGCAGAGAGATGATAATGCAGGTGTGTACGCCTCCTTACGTCGAGATGTGTTAGGGCTGACGAAAGTACCATTGTCATAGCTCAAAGAAGGTGCGCCCTGGAGATCGGACCAAGAGGAAGTGAGGCCGCTCCCCCCCTACTAAGTAACCTACTTTGTCTCTTCCGTAGCTCAAGGAAGGTGCGCCCTTGTGGTCGGGCCGAGAGGAAGTGAGGCCCCTCCCCCCTTGACTAATCCACTTTGTCCCTCTCGCAGCTTAAAAGAATGTGCGCCCTGGTGATCGGGCCGAGAGGAAGTGAGGCCCCTCCCCACTTGACTAACCCACTTTGTCCCTCTCACAGCTTAATAGAAGGTGCGCCCTGGTGATCGGTCCCAGAGGAAGTGAGGCACCCCCTCCCCCGTTGACTAACCCACTCCGCACCATTCCGACGCCCTCGGCCCGCACCACCGCTCACCCTGCTCCCCGTTCCCCCTCGGCCAGCGGAGGCCCTCAGCCCTCCTTTTCCCCCGTTCGAACGTCTGCCCCCCCCCCAAAGCCGACTCCCCTCCATACCTCCCTCTTCCTCCTCCTCCTCCTCCTCCCCCTCCTCCTCCTCCCCCTCCTCCTCCTCCTCCTCCCCCTCCTCCTCCTCCTCCTCCTCCTCCTCCTCCTCCTTCTCCTCCTCCTCCTCCTCCTCCTCCTCTTGCCCCCCCTCTTCTTCCTCCCCCGTTCGAATGGGTGCCCTCCCGCCCTCCCTCCTTTTTTGTCGTCGTCGGCGTCCCTGCTTGAGGTTGCCCTGCGATCCTCTCGGTGGGCGTGGCCTCTTATCTGCAGTGCAGCGGTCACTGGCCATAGCAAAACGTGGCAGTGATTTAATTTGAACGAATACAACGACAAGTTCAAGCGTGACTCCAGGATGCCAGGCACCGTGCCAGAGCCTCCACCGCCGCCTACGTCGAAGGCGAGGCCGCACGAGAACGGCCAGGGCAAGAGTGAGCCAAGTGGCCGGAGTTCAAGCAGGGGAGAAAATAGACATGACAACTACTCCAGAGAGCAGTACCAGTGGAACTGGAGTAACAGAGACACTTGGGATGATTCTCGTGACTGGAGAAATCGTTGGCAAAGGTGGCGCAGCACAAAAGAACCAGCACGACATAGTCGATGCTGGTCCAAACTGCATCATGGAGCGGGTGCACCAGGTGTGCACGGGCATTGTGGCCTGAGCTGGGAAATATTAGCTCAGGCGGGGAATGTTGGGTTTCTTCGGCCTTCCGCCCCCTGGCAACCACCGTTGGGCGGTAACATGTTTTTGGGGTTCGCTCCGGTGGCTGTGCATACGCACAGGCCAGGTGGGTTGGGGGGTCGGGGCGGCTCTACGGACCCCGCCGCAGGGGGAGTCAATGCACCCCTTCCGCACCACCATCTTTTCGCCCTGTCTGCTCCTTTGCCTTGCGCGCACTGCCTGATGAACTGACTGCTTCTGCTTCCGCAGCTATACCACTTTGGCTCTAGGGAAACGGAAAAGGAGCGAGCCTGCGGCACGCGCGCGTGCGTCGGCCGGCGGGCCGGCCTCCTCCCTTCAGTGTCACCTTAGTGTATGCGTGACGGCATTTTCCCTTCTTGCCCATGTCATCGGCGGAGCCCAATGACCATGACATAGTATCGGAACATATTGCTGGGATTCTGAATATCCAGGCAAAAGACTTTCTTCTATGTTGTTATTTACGTGGCAAGGCAGGCATCGCGGATGTATGTTCTTCGACTGTAATTGTCGCGTGGCCAAGCAGGGGGTACATGTTCCGTTTATTTTCGTCGCGCGGCAGAAGTGCCGCGGCGACATAGGGGAACACGGTTCACAACATGGTAAACAAAGTAATGGGATTTCCTTTTTCCGACCAGTAGAATGTCGGGCCGTTGGCCTCGCGAAACTCGTTTGGTACAACCCGCTGGATTTGAAACAGTAGACCGCGGGGATCGAGGAAGACATGGCTGGGTTCCCGTTCGGCCGCGGGGCCCATGGACAATGTTGGATTGAATGCCAGCTCGAAAAATGTTGATGCATCCTTCACCCCTTGTCATACTATAAAAGGCCCACTGGGGCCCGCATGAGAAAGTGGTATTCCGCCGGATACTTCGTAACACTACGTTCCTGATCACCTTCCAAGGCGACCAGAAAGTTCTGCCATGCAGTCAAAAAGTGGCGATTTCGCTTGGGACGTCTTCGCAAAAGGTTTATGATCGTTTGTCATGTTATTTGAAAGTGGCGATTCCGCTTGGGACAGCCTCGCAAAATATATCAAGTTGCTGTCCACGCCGCCTTTGTATAGTGCCGATCTTTACTTTTTAACCCAGGGGGTGGTAGTTCGACCTACGGGGAAGGGGATTCGTGTTGCAGTCCGTGCCTCCTTCCCTCCCTGTCTCATGGTCCTCTTTCCCCTCCTCCTCCCCCTCTTCCTTCTTTGTCTCCTTTTCCTCCTCGTCCTCCTCCTGCTCCTCCTCTCTTCTCTATCCTCCATCCTCGCCCTCCTCCCTCCTCCCCTTCCTCCTTCGCTTATTGAAAGCCCCACTTTCACCCACTTTGCCAAGCGGGGTTTTCGGCTTCGAAGGGGGTGGTGATTGGTTTAGCTCCGGAGGCCCCCACCCTTATTAGAAAGGGAGCCCCCGGCTTCTAAAGGGGGGGAGACGGAGTAGTTTCTGAAGCCTCTCCTGTCTGGGAAGGGCCCCCACCCCCCCTTTTCAAAAGTCAGAAAAACAATCATCGGGTTGGAAGGATGAGGTTCGGAGAAGTGATCAGCTCGTCAGTACTATTGCGAATGTCGAATGCACTTGTTGCACCGTCGTGCCCTGTATCTTCCCACCCCCTTCCTCCGAACATGATAACTGTCTGCCCCAACAAGGGTAGAGAAAGTAGCTTCGGAAGGTTCCCAGGGCTCCACCCGTGGCAAAAAAAGGGAGGTGAGCTCGAAGCTGGGGTCCTCTTTTAGTATTTGGATCACACGGCGGTGCTCCTTCGCCGCTCATCTGCAGCGCCGATACGCTTGTCGCACCAGCTTGCTAGAGGCATTTTGCTTGCAATGTCAATATTGTGCCGTTGTTACGGGCCCTGCGGAGAAGAGGTTAAGCAGGGCTCTTGGTGTGACAGCTTGCCTGAGCATCTTTGCTGCGCGGGAGCTTTCGAAAGTGTGTCTTGCGCAGACGCACTGTCCCGTTGACGCGATCTTCAGGCCTCCCTCGATTGGTTTTTCGAGGTGCCGCTGCAGCACACCCCGCATGCTGGATGCAGGGCTGCCACTTGCAAACGTGCGTTCGTTAGACATCTTTCGGCAGTGACGGAACGGACCTGTCGTGTCGGGCCGGCATGTGGGTTTCAATCGCGAGGGCGAGCGTATTTGTTTGATGCCACATTTCTGACGTCCATTAGCGTACAGTACGCGAGTTTCGCTATCAAGGTGCTCCCCATTGCGCGCCGACGCACCAGGCAACTCTCCTCGGGCAATCGTGGACGTTGTTTTGCTGTCTCTGCTTTTCTTTTTTGCTCTTGTTGCCCTCGCGTTTCTCATGTTTGCTGCCTCCAGCTGCTTTCTCCCTCTCATTCTCGCAGACACTTGCGTTGGGCTGAGGCGCAACGGACTGGAGGGCCCGAGGCACGGGCAAAAACAACACGAAGATGAGGACCATAATGTGCTCATGTGGCGGAGCCTTGGAGGGAAAGTCCAGGCAGGAGCCAGAGCTCGCACAGCCCGCGCGGGCACCGAAGATTTCTAGGTGCCTGACTTGTTTCGCGGATCTTCTTCTGAGCCTTCCTGTCTCTCGTCGGGGTTTGGGCGCGGTGCCAGAGTTGTCGAACCGCGCCGAGCCCTCCGCCCCCTCACTCAGAGGAGCAAGAAGTCATGAGATTGATGCGTTTCAATACGCCCCATGTGTCCCAGATTTCCTATTGCTCCGCACATGCTCCAGAAACGAGAGCCTCTGGAGAAATCCTGGAGCGAATCCTAAGCCAAGCATATCATGGCATCGTTCCCCTGCCAGTTACCCCTCTCCCCATAGGAGAGCCCCCCCTCCCCTCCCCCCGCTTCTCGCGACGAGCGATGCAGAGGCTGGGCACAGGAGACGGCTGGAGCGGAAAGACGAACACTCATTGGAAGCCCCACGCGCCGACGGACTCGAAGGACTGGTTCGAGAGGCAGGCTGCCGTGCGTTGGGAACCAGGCTGTGTATGCAGAGCGATGTTACGATGTGTCGTCCCTGCTGCGTTCTCGACGCCACTGGGGGCCTGCGACAGGCTGCGGCGCATTTGGTGAACAAGGGACGGCACTCAGAGTCATTGCTCCTCAGGTGTATCGGGACGTCCCAAAGATCCACGTGCAAATGTATCCAGCGCCACCTCCCCCCCCCTGGAAGTTCCAGTGATCTGCGCCATGTACCCTATTTGCTTGAGGAGCATACATTATAAGCACCTTCGACCAGCATTCGCCTTCCAACGTGGTCGTGTGTCCCAGGTGTACGTACGTTCGTTGAATTATTTTGCGTTGCGTGGCATGTGGTGCAATCAGGCTTTCGAGGGCGACGCTGCGCTAGTTCGGGGGAAGGAGAGGCGCCTACATCGACTTGTGAAGTGTTAGCTTCGTCCCCGAGTTGCGTTTTTCCATGATGTGAGGCAAGCCAGCTACTTGGAAGCCCTCGTCGAGTTCCAGCTGCTGGAATGGCTTTTTGGCGCGAGCATACCATCTAGATCGCATGATCTAACACAGTTCCTTGAGTCCGCGCTCAGTTTGCCATATCTTGCCGCTCTCGTGGGGCACAAGCGTGTGCTGGTCAATCGGGGGGCGTGTTGTTACTGCAGACCTGCCCAGGGATCTGTGGCCCACGCAGTTATAATATGTTCGCACTTGCGCTTAATGCTCTTGCTTGCCTGTGCTTCCCTGTACTCGCGCAAGCCACTCGTTTGCGTACTTGCATGCCTGATTGATTGCGTTTGTTTGTGTTTGCTTGCTTGTTTATGTTGCAACGCATATGTTTGCTAACTTGATTGCGTATACTCTCTCGTTTTCTTGCATGCTATTGTGCATGTACGCACGTTTGCCCTTAAATGCCTTTACTTGCCAGTTGTGCGTGTTGATGTTCACGCTTCCTCGCTCGCATGCGACTCATTTCGTTTGATCGCGTGTTCTTGTGATGTGGTTTTGATGTCCTCCAAAGTTCACAAAATGCGACTCAGGCTGAACTCGCTATGACCGTTACTCGTGTTCTGCTCATGCTGGCATCGTTGCGGGTGTTGTGGTTTGATCTTGCGATAGGCGCGAGATTGGTTTCCTATTTGTATAGCCGTGCTAATTCTTATTATAATGATATTGCGCCCATGTGTTCGTAAACGTGTGTTTCGCGATTGCTTGTTTTATCACAGCTCCGCGCAGATGCTTGTAGTGTTTGCTGTCACGTGCTCGTTTTGGCCTGGGACTGGTGGATTGGACCGGTGGTGTACGTACCGAGATTCCGTGCGCGCAGCGTTCACACGTGCAGCTGACAGCCGCGTTGTGAATACGAAGCGTCGCATCGGCTTTCGTTTTTGGGCTTGTTTTCGCCACTTTGGCTTTACATCTAGTCACCAGGCGGTGAATTTCCAACCACGGCCGACACACTTCCAGGTACACCATGCCAATGCGCTTTATATTTGCGCCGGTTACTGCTGAGTTCTGGGTGTCCTGCTTGGTCAATGTAAGCCTCGATTTGGCCATTCTGCACGGTTGCGGGCATTTCTTACGGTGGCGTGGTCGCGTGTGCGTGCTACTTAGATCTGACTAAGAAGTGCAATCTGCATCGCGCACAGCTTTCGAATGCGCCCAAGGCCAGTGGCGACTGGCAAGTTCAGCCTCGACCACAACGGAGGCCAGCGACGGTTGGGCATAGTATGTATTCGCGATTTGTTGGAGCGGCGCTTCGTGCCACACGTGGCGCCAGAATGCCTGCTCTGCATCCAGAGTCTTTGTTTCATGAGGATCCGCTACTTGTAATGACATCGTTACGTCCTCCATTGTACGTGATCTTCGGGACGTTGGCGGGAGAGGGAGCGCCGCGGGCTGTGGTGCTACGGAGAGCATGCGCACGCGTGCCAGAGAGGAGGAGGAGGAGGAGGAGGAGGAGGAGGACCAGAGTGAATCCAGGATGCGTCAGCGATGCTGCAATACACCCTCTCGTCCCGAGTCCCGCTCTCCCCTACAGGCCTTCTCTGTTTTAACTGCAGGGACTGCCCCCGTGACAGACGAGCGCATTTTGGGCCTGCCATGCAGGCGAGAGCCTCGTTTTGAAATGGAGCTGTCGTGCATGTTCCCAGCGAGTAGTCATGATTAGTCATGAGCGCTAACATGTGTATAACCAATGCGTCTAACGAAGTGTCCAGCGAGAGCCCCATTTTGAAAAGGATCCGCCCCCCATCCGTGTGACTGCTGCGCCAGCTTGCACCCTGGCGATAAGATGCGAGGACATCTCAAGCGAGAGCCCCATGCTGACCACGAGCCGCCCTCCATCTGTGCAGCTGTTCCATATTTCCAGACTGTCTTCAACTCGTGGTGAGGAACTCTTCAGCGACAGGCCCACTTTGAAAAAGAGCCGTCATCCATCTTTGTAGCTGCTGCAAACTCTTGGGGCAAATATGCGCGCCGCGAAGGCGAGAGGTCCACTTTGAAAAGGATCCCCCCTTCATCCTCGAAGCTTTTGTGGGATTTTCACACGAATGTGCGCGACGCTGAGTGGAGAGCCGCATTTTCAAAACGAGCCGGCCTCCATCCTTGAAGCTGTGGGAACCGTGTAGGACGAATGTGCGTGGAGTTACGGCGAGAGCCACAGGTTGAAAACGACCGGCCTTCCATCCTTGAAGTGCCCCAGGCGGCGCTTGCGCTTTAGGGATTTTTCGTGTGCCTTCTGGAGAAACCGGGTGGCGGTCCAGCAGCTCGTCGCCGCCCGTCACCGCCGTCGCCGCTGGGCCCCCGTGGCAGTCTGGCTGGCTCGTCGCCGCCCGTCACCCGCTGCCGGCTCGTCGCCGCCCGTCGCCGGCGCTGCTTCGCATGGCTTTGCACGGCTCTGCTCTTTGCTTTGCATCACTTTGCATCGCTTTTCGTTGCTCTGCATCGCTTTGCATCGCCGTGCACCGCTTTGCATCGCTTTGCACCGCTGTGCAGTGCTGTGTATTGCTTTGCACTGCTTTGCACTGCATTGCTTGGTACTTCTTTCACTTAGGTTTGCATTGCATTGCTTTGTATTGCTTTTCACTGTTTCCCATTGCTCTGAGTTGCTCTGACTTTTGTTGCATTGCATTGCTTTGCATTGCATTTGCATTGCCCTACATTGCATTGCTTTGCATTGCATTGCTTCGCACTGTACTGCATTGCAATGCATTGCTTCGCACTGTAGTGCAATGATTCGCACAGTATTGCATTGTGTTGCATTGCTTGGTATTGCCTGTCTTTGCATTGCTCTGCGTTGCTTGGCATTGCTTTGCAGTGCCTTGCATTGCATTGCATTGCGTTTCATTGTTCTGGATCGTGTTGTATTGCTTTGCATCTCATGGTATTGGTTTGCATTGTTTTGAATTGCTTTGCATTGCTTCGCATTGCTCTGTGCGTTGCTCTGCGTTGCTTTGTATTGCTTTGAACTGCCTTGAATTGCTTTACATTTATCTGCATCGTTCTGAACTGCATTGCTTTGCATTGATTTGCATTGCGTAGCATCGCTTTGCATCGCGCTGCACTGCTATGCATTACATGGCATTGCGTTGCATTGCTTCGCGTTGCTTTTCATTGCTTTGAGTTGCTTGGCATGGCTCTCTGTTGCTTTGCACTTCTTTGTATTGCGTTGCATTGCCTTGCAGTGCTTTGCATTGCTTTGCATGCCCTTGCGTTGCTGCGCATTGCTTTGCATGGGTTTGCATTGCGTTGCATGTTGTTTCATTGCGTTGCAACGCTTTGCATCGCAGTGCATTGTAGGGCATCGCTTTCCATCGCTTTGCATCATTTTACATTGTTTTCCCTTGCTTTGCATTGCTTTGCATCGCTTTACACTTGTTCGTATTTCTTTGCAATCCGTTGCATTCCCTGGCATTACTTTGCACTGCTTTTCTTTGCATTTTGCTTTGCTATGCGTTCATTGGTTTGCATTGCCAATGCATCGCATTGCATTGCTTTGCATTGCTTTGCATTGTTTTGCATTGCGTTGGATGTTTTGTATTGCTCCACATTGCCTTACATTGCATTGCAACGCTTTACGATGGTTTGTATTGCTGTGCATTGCGTTGATTTTTGTCATTGCTTTGCGTTGAGTTGCATTGCTTCGCACTGCGTTGCCTTACTTTGTATCGTTTTTTATGTGCGTTGCTTTGCATTGCTTTGCATTGCTTTTGTGCTGCATTGCGTTGCATTGCTTTGCATTGCGCTGCACTGCGTTGAATTGATCTGTGTTGCTTTGAATTTCTTCGCATTGCTTCGCCCAAGACATTGCACCATATGGATTCAGGTGTCGGAAGCAATTAAGCAACACTCATGCATAACATATGGTTTGAACCTCCCCCCCCTCCCCCCAAATGCAATGTTGGTTTCGGATCTTCCGATTTTGGGCCTCCGAGCGGTCTTGCGAAAACCTGTCAACTTTGAATTGCGGGGGAGGGGGGAAGTGTTGCTCAATTGTTTCCTCTACCGTTGCACAGCCTAGATTGCACCACATTGATTGGGGTCTACGCTGGCTAACGGCGTTTGAGCTTTAGCTTGGGAAAACAAGTAGTAAGACAGTCTCAAACACAGCGCCCGGCCCAGCCTACGGACACGCCTGTCGCCGAAAAGGAGGGAGTTGCTTGGAGGAAAAGGGAAGGAGGAATGAGGAGGAGGAGGAGGAGGAGGAGGAGGAGGAGGAGGAGGAGGAGGGAGGAGCGGAGGAGGTGGAGGAGAAAGGGGAGGGGGAGAGGGCATGGGCAGGAGGAGGAGAGGACGAGGGAAGCCGGGAGCCGAGCGAGACGAGGCGCGCAGCGAACGCAAAGGGGGGCAGCAGCCCGCCCGGACCGCCCGGATCTCGGGCTGCCACCCGGACGGGGGCGGGGAGCCGCCGCCCCGACGGGGGAGGGGGAGGAGGGGGAGGAAGAGGAGGGGGAGGGGGAGGGGGAGGGGGAGGAGGAGGAGGAGGAGGAGGCGGAGGGGGAGGGGGAGGAACTAGGAGGGGGAGGAGGGGGAGGAGGAGGAGGAGGAGGAGGAGGAATCCTTGAGGGCTCAGGCGCACCCGCGCTGGCCTTGGAGGCACTGCCCTCGGCGGACACCGGCGCGCTTTCTCTCTCTCTCTCTCTCTTTCGTTCCCCTTCGGTCCGGCCCGGCATCGCAGACTGCCCGGCGCAGGCGGCGAATCGGGGGTGCCAGGCCGCGGCTGTATGTGCAGCGCTGGTCCTGAGCCCAGGATGGGTGTGGCCTGCGTCGGTCGCTAGGCGGCGGATCGCTAGGAAGGCGCGTGTTTGTTTTTCCCCGTAGCGCCGAGGCACCAGGCTCTGAGGAGGAGGAGTAGGAGGAGGAGGAGGAGGAGGAGGTGATGTCCAGCCCACGCACCGACCCCACCTCCCCTCATTGACGGTCGGCCAGATGGGTCGCAAAGGCTTTGCGGGCCATCCTTGGCAGGAGCCCTTGCGCAAGCCTCGTACGAGGCATCGTGCCTTGGGGCACCCATACTTCGAACGGGTAACCTTAACCATACATAGAAAGTGGTTAACCATACATAAAACACACATAATACACTACACTAATACACTACGCTAATACACTGCGCTAATACACCACGCGAATACACCACGCGAGTACACCACGCGAATACACTACACTAATACACTACACTAATACACTACACTAATACACTACACTAATACACTACACTAATACACTACACTAATACACTACACTAATACAATACGCTGGTTCACTACGCGAATGCACACCACGAATGCACTGCACGAATACAATACGCTGATTCACTACGCGAATGCACTACACGAATGCACTGCACGAATACTCTATACTAATACTCTATACTAATACTCTATATTAACATTCTATACTAATACTCTATACTAATACGCTGTATTAATACTCTATACTAATACTCTATACTAATACTCTATACGAATACTCTCTGCTAGTACTCTATACGAATACTCTATACTAATACTCTATACGAATACTCTATACGAATACTCTATACTAATACTCTATACGAATACTCTATACGAATACTCTATACTAATACTCTATACTAATACTCTATACGAATACTCTATATACGAATACTCTATATACGAATACTCTATACGAATACTCTGTACGAGTACTCAATACGCTAATACACTACGTTAATACTCTGTACTAATACTCCATACGCTAATACACGACGCTAATACACTACGCTAGTACACTACGCTAATACACTTCGTTAAGACACTACACTAATACACTACGCTAATACACTACACGATTACGCTATGCTAATGCGCTAAACTAATACGCTACGCTAATACTCTATGCGAATACACTACACTAATTCGCTACACTAGTACGCTACACCAATACGCTAAACTAATACGATACGCTAATACACTATGCTAATACAGAGGCCTAAAATTGTCAAAAACCTTCGTCGTGAGTTTCTCATGACGTCGGAGGTCTGGGCCCTGCCCGGTCAGAGTCGGTCCCCGGATTTTTTCCCACATCCCAACGAAAACCGCATGAATATCTTGTGAAAATCGTCAGGCCGCCGCGGCTTCTCCGAAAATCTTGCGAAAATCGTCGGGCCGCGGATCTTGCAAACATCCCACGGAAATCCAACGAAAATCCACGCGACGATCTTGCGAACGTCTTACGAAAATCTGCAGATCCTACGAACAAAAAAAAACGACAGTTTTACGAAGGTATGCGAAAATCGTCGAGCCGCCGCGGCTCCTATGGACCGCGGACCTTACGAACATCCGACGAAAATCTTACGAGTACCGCCGCAATGCGCGACCGCGCGGTGCCGATGCAATCTCCACGCGCTAAGACACTACACTAATACATTACGCTAATACACTACGCTAATACACTACGCAAATACACTACGCTAATACACTCCGCTAATACACTACGCTAATACACTACGCTAATACACTACGCTAATCCACTACGCTCATACACTACACTGCGAAAGTCGCCAAGTCGCCGCGAATCCTGCGGAAATCTTGCGAAAATCGTCGGGCCGCGGATTGTACGAACATCCTACGAGCATCCCACGAAAATCCAAACGAAAATCATGCGAAAATCTTTCGAAAATCAGCGGATCCTACGAACCAAGAACCAATAAAACAAATCCAAGCGAAAACCGTATGAATATCCAGCGAAAATCGTCAGGCCGCCGCGGCTTCTCCGAAAATCTTGCGAAAATCGTCGGGCCGCGGATCTTACAAACATCCTACGAAAATCCCACGAAAATCCAAACGAAGATCTTGCGAACATCTTGCGAACTTCAGCAGATCCTACGAACCAATAAAAATCCCAGCGAAAATATTAGGGAGATCTGCGAAAATCGCCGGGCCGTCGCGGCTCCTACGAACCGCGGACCTTGCGAAAATCCTACGAAAATCCTGCGAGTACACCATACTAATACACTACGCTAATACACTACGCTACTACACTACGCTAATACACTACGCTAGTACACTACACTCCGAAATCGTCGGGCCGCCGCGAATCCTGCGGAAATCCTACGAAAATCGTCGGGCCGCGGATTGTAGGAACATCCTACGAGCATCCCACGAAAGTCCAAGCGAAAATCAGGCGGAAATCATACGAAAATCCGCGGATCCCACGAACCAACAAGAATCTCAGCGAAAACAATCCCAACGAAAACCGTATGAAGATCTTACGAAAATCGTTCGGCCGCCGCGGCTTCTCCGAAAATCTTGCGAAAATCGTCGGGCCGTGGATCTTAGAAACATCATGCGAAAATCCAGCGAAAATCCAAACGTGCGAACATCTTGCGAAAATCCGCAGATCCTACGAACCCGAACAAAAACAGCGCCGGTTGGCAATGCGCAACCGCGCGTTGGCAATGTAATCTCCATACGCTACTACGCTGCATTAATACACTACGCTAATACACTACGCTAATACACTACGCTAATACACTACGCTAATACACTGCACTAATACACTGCGCTAATACCCTACGCTAATACTTCAGCGTAGTGTATTAGCGTAGTGTATTAGCGTAGTGTATTATGGAAAATTATGTGTGGGTAAAGCGCACCCTCCATACTTCGAAATGGGATGAAATGAGGGACTCTCGTGAGATGGCATGAGATCAGCCTATGCGGTGCGTCATGTGCATTGTTTGTTGGGCCTCCAGTCATTACAATCTAGAGTTGTATGCCATCTCCACGTCTGGCCCCCCATGGGCGTGGCCATGTCCTGCTGCGAACTGGCACGATTCCTGCTCCCCACACCAGGGGTTCTTGAGCTCCTCTCCTGGGGAAAAGTTGGGCCCGGTTGTGGGTCTGGCCGGCTCGGGGCCGCCCGTCGCCGCCGTCCTTGGTGACGGTCTCGAGTGTGCGGTTGTCGGTCTGGCCAGCTGGTGGCCGCCCGTCTCCGCCGTCCCTGGTCACGATGTTGATTGTGCAGGGCTCGCACGTCGCATGGCTTTGCACTGCGGTGCATCGCTTCGCACTGTGTTGCACTGCTTCGCGTTGCTTCACACTGCGTTGTGCATGGCATCGCATAGCATTGCAATCGCATTGCGCTGTTTCACGTTGTTTTACACTCTTCTGCATTGCTTTGCGCCACATGGATTGCACCATGTGGATTTCACATCCTAGATTGTACCACATTGATTTGTACCGCCTATATTGCAGGAAGTCACTGCTAGGGAGGAACCACGCTGGCTAACATTTGTTCAAGACATGTGGTCCATGCTGCATTACAATTGCAGTAATCATCCACTAACGCCAGTCACGTGCATCCTCTGTGCCACTGGCGTCCAGGGACCACTATTGCCGAGTACAGGCTTGGTAGGTTGATGCAAGGACTTGATTCCAAGATAGTGCAGTGCATTGGACCTGCGTTGCCTGCGCGAATGTGGCTATGAAGAACTGCATGACCCAACGAATGGCCACTGGGGAGCCGAACACTTGATTGCGCTCAATTCCAGCCGGCGCGTCGCAGACCACACAGGGCCCATTTGAGTTCTCAAATGTCGGGGCCCGCTTGAGTTCACGACTGCTTGGCCCACCTGAGTTCTCAAATGCCGTGGCTCGCTAGGATACACGGACGCGGCCCTGCAGCATTCACGTAGCAGGCGCAACCGTTGCAGCGGCGTGGCGCAAAGTGGCGGCCAGACCTCTCTCGATGGTCCTTCGTTGCTCGATCGGCCCCTTTGTGCTGCCCACGCACCTCCCCTGAAGTGCGGCCCGGCGGGAGGGGGCGGCCCAGGCGACGCGCAGCCGCCCCCTATCTTTGCCTTTCTGGTGTCTTGGACCTGCCTCTTTGGAGGCATGCTGCCTTCCTGGTCCTAGTCCTCCTCCTCCCCAGGCTCATCCTCCTACTCATCTTTATTTTCCCCTCCCTAGCCTCCTTCCCCTTTTCCTCGTCCACCTTCTCCCCCTCCTCCTTCTGGTGTTCCGCTTCCTCCCCTTCCCCCTTATTCTGGTCGTCCTTCTCCGCGCCGCCAAATATTGGACGCCCTGTGACGGGGAGGCAAGCGCTACGTCATGGACTCCAGGCCGCGCACATGCGTCCCAGGCTCCATGTCGCACGCTGGAGGGCAAGGGGGGGGGGCGCCAGAAGGGAGGTTCAGAGCGGGGGGCGCGGTGAACAAAACAGTCTGGGTAATCGCGGCCCCTGGAAGCCACCCATTCTCTGGCGCTGAAAGGACGATCGTTCATCATCAAGGACCGAGCACAACGCTGTTTAGCTTGGTTGTTGCCCTTGTTGTGTTTTTCATTTCGATGTTCGTAATTGTTCCGTTGTGCTCTTCGCTGTTGCTTTAGAACGTGTTCGGGGCGACGCGCGCACCGAGAAATCTGATAGTATATGCGTCGCGGCGGGCGCTTTCTGGCAACACCGCTCCAGAACCGATATACTACAAGATGGGTATACTACATGTTCGGGTCGGACGCGCGCCTCCAAGGCGGACATACAGTACCAGAATGTCTCTGTGCGTCCCATTCCAGATCCACCGCATCGTCCAGGTACCCACGGCGAGCTCCGCCCTCTTGCCCCGCGGAGCGGGCTCGGTGTGGCGACCGCACGGGAAGGGGCCGCTGCGTGTGACAGCTCCTTCTCGCTCCCTCGGGGCTGCAGAAGCCGCTAGGCATCGCTCGGACGTGTGCATTTTTCTCTCGGCCAGAACCATCGAGGAGCATCCTGGACCATCGAGCACAAAAAAACGCGCAACGAAACGGACAACTGCACGGTGAGTGGACGTCCGAGCGACGGCAAGGCCGTGGCCCGAGCAGGCAGTACTCTGCGGCAGCTGCCCCCCCTCCGCCGTCCCACGGAGCCGTCGCGCGCGACACGCCTTCCCACCCCCTCAATCGCTGCAGGAGGCCGCAGCACGTGGGGCGTTCCAGACAACGGGCGTCGCCCTCGAGGGGCCAGGGAGCTTCGGCACCTCTTCCTCGGCGGAGGGAGGCGGGCGCAGGACGAGGGCGCCGCCGCCAGCGGAAGGCCGGCGGAAGTCAAAGTCGCCCCCCGGTTTGGATTCGGCAAGTTCTTCGTTGCCATCTCCCTCTCTCCAGAGAGGGCCTAACATGCCGCAGTCGTCCTCTTCTGGAACCCAGGGAGTCGTCGCATGCGACATGGCGACATGGCGTCTCTCCGTGTTCCCCCCTCCATCTTCCCCGGGAGCCTTTGAGCCACTCCCGGGGGCGCGAAGATACAGTCCACCCGCATGGTACGGACGGGCAACCTTCCCAAGGGTAAGTGTCCCTGCGTCCTTACCGCCTCGGCCCCTCCTTGGCCACTCTCCTTTGCCCCGCCCCGCCCGCAGAGCTTCTAAGTGGGCGTCTGAGGCCCTTTTGCATCCTTATTGAGCGCATCCTTACCAGACGGGCTGACTGTAGCCGCGCTTCGCGCGCCTAGCGGCCTCTCGAGGGCGCGAAGAGGACCGCCGCGAGTACCGCGTCCCTTGGGGCGCGACTTAGGAAGAGGAGTGGGGAGGAGGAGGAGGAGGAGGAGGAGCAAGAGGATGATGATGCTGCTGAGGATGATGACGATGACGATGACGATGACGATGACGATGGTGATGATGATGATGATGATGATGATGATGATGATGGTGATGGTGATGGTGATGGTGATGGTGATGGTGATGGTGATGGTGATGATGATGATGATGATGATGATGATGATGCTGATGCTGATGCTGATGCTGATGCTGATGCTGATGCTGATGCTGATGCTGATGACGATGACGATGACGATGACGATGACGATGACGATGCTGATGCTGATGCTGATGATGCTGATGCTGATGCTGATACTGATGCTGATGCTGATGCTGATGCTGATGCTGCTGATGATGATGAGGAGGAGGAGGAGGACGAGGAGGAGGAGGAGGACGAGGAGTGGGAGGAGGACGAGGAGGAGCATGCAGGAGCCATCAGGTAGTGTGGCAAGAAATCCGCTTGTGGGGGAGGACGTGTCGGGTGGGGCTCTTTGTGGATGGCGCGTCTCTCCGTGGGCTCTGTCCCACCTGCGCTTCGGCGCGGCGCGCTGTCCGTTTCCCCATCCCCAGGCGTCAATGTCCCAAGCTTTTCCGAGTCTGGTCGAGATTGTTGTGCGTCCCCTCCATGCCTCGCATCTGGAAGGCCAAGTCTACAAGCGTCTATGGACAGTGGGTGTCGCCATTTGCATCGGCACATAGAGAATGCGGCCGTTGCGGTCGACCCAGTACAAGGTCGAAGAAATGGTATATCCATCTACAGTGTGCTCCTGTCCTAGAGCACCTCCCACATAGTACCGCAATCTCGAGTCGTCTTGACCTCACGCCCCAGCATAGTCTATTAGTGCGGAGGTTGTGCTGCAAGGCGGCCACGCAAGGCCTACGCCACATAGCAGCAGAGTGCAATGGTGTACCACGCAAAGGCCGCGAGATCTTTCTGACTGTTGATAGGGGTGAATCTTCTCGAGCCGTGGGGGCTACCCCACCTCCTTACACATACGAGGCGTACCAGTGCGGCAGTGCACAGCACGCAGCGCAAGCAGCGACAGTCGAGTGAGTTTGTCATGATCGTCGGCAACGCACCCTGGCGTGCGCAGCCGGTACACCTGGTACTCCATCTTGTCCTCCTCCTCCTCCTCCTCGTCAGCATCCTCCTCCTCATCATCATGATCATGATGAGCATCATCATCATCATCATCATCATCATCATCATCATCATCATCCTTATCCTCATCATCACCAGCAGCATCATCAGCAGCATCATCAGCATCAGCATCATCATCATCATCATCATCATCAGCATCAGCATCAGCATCAGCATCATCATCATCAGCATCATCATCGTCATCATCGTCATCATCATCATCATCATCACCATCATCATCATCAGCATCATCATCATCATCATCGTCGTCGTCGTCATCGTCATCGTCATCGTCATCATCAGCAGCAGCATCAGCATCAGCATCATCATCAGCAGCAGCATCATCAGCACCTTGGTTCTGGGCTGAGAAAGCTGCCTGTCTGCACTGTGGAGAAGGAGCGTGCCTGGCGAGGGCAGGCGGTCGGGGTTCGTCGCCAACTTCGCCAAGGTTCCCCGCCTCGGCCCGGGCACCGCGATCAGCTCGTTGAGGTGCGCGCGTGGTGGCCCCAGCTGGGGCTTCGGCAGGCAGGTGTCCTCTCTCCTCCTCCTCCTCCTCCTCCTCCTCCTTCTC